ACACACACACACACCCACACACGTGCATGTGCACACACATGCACACACCCACAGGAAGTTACTCAAGCTGGCGGTAATTTCATTCAGATCTGCTCTGTTTTCTTTGTGTGTGTGTGTGAGGACAATGGTAAAAGCTAAGACACTTTGAAGCATGTGGTTGCCATCTAGTGGCTGATAAATGTAACTGCTACTCAAATTATAATCATTATTAGAGATGACTTTAGATGATGGAGACATTTTCATTTCATCATTTTTCAACTACAAAATATAACAGTTAGACCAGGTTAATATACTTGTATTTTAGTGATTTCTTGTTAGTTTGATTTATGAAGATTGAAGGGACATTTATCAGGATATCAGAATTCCTTCTCAAATCTCCCTCTGAAAAGACATATGGACATGTGTTTGGTCAGAGGGGTCAGAGGTCAGGCAGGATAGCAGTATATTCATAGATTATAGAATTTAATGAGGTAGAAGGATTTTAATGTGTATATTATACTTTTTTTTGTGGAACAAACATGTCAGACACATATTATTGTTTCAAGCAGATTACTTATAAAAATGTCTCAATAGATTTCTGGAGGGGGTCTTTGATGTGGTTCTTCCACTAAGTGATCTTTGGTAAGAAGATGTGAGTTCAGTTTCCTTGTTTATGACAATGATAACTGAGTCACAGTCTGCGATGGTGACTTGACTTTGACTCAAACACTGTATCTGATGGCTCAGCTCTGATCAGAGCAATGGAATCAAACAATGGAAACACACAATCGACATCATCACAGTTAGCTCATTAGTTAGCTCTTCATCAACCAAGAATTTCTTTATTTACAGCACTTTAAATGTGGTTTAATGTGAGGAGATCTACACAATGAGGAGGCAGACAGTGGAAGCTGGTGTATTTAACATTTATTTTCTGTCATTTTAAAAACTGTTTGAGGACAATCAAAATATAAATACATTTCTCTCTCACACTCATCCACACACACACACACACAGCAACTGGCATCAGAACACACGCACACACACACAACCCCTGCCCCTGATTTAGATGTTAAAAGGTGCAACGACCAACCATCAGGACTCATCGTGATCCAACTGCACCATCCAGAGTTCAGAAACCATTTGAACACAGAGAAAGAACAAATATTGGACAGTTTGTGTCTCTTTACAACCATAATACTCTTATACTTGTTTATGTGACCTCCAACAGTCACATGAGCTTCAGTCCCACTGAACCGACATCATGATGACATAAGCTGCTCCTACATACTGTATTTGTCAACCGAGTGAATCTACAGGAGAGTCTAACAGAAGTTAAGTGTTAAAACCATTAAAAAAAAAGAGGTTTGGTTCAGTCCTGCAAGGTCTAACCATGTGAGATTTTGTACTTTAAGCAATAACCTGTGACATATTTAGAATAAATGTACATCGTTTCCAGGATATAATCTTCGAGTGGGCAGGAAGTGAGTTGTTTTGTTGTTGTTTTCTGTTTAGACAGACAGAAACAGAAGAACTGGGACATGGTGATCTACCACACACACAGAAAAGAGCCACACGTGGAGAAACTCATCAAAACACATCTGAGTCCTGCTGACTTTGACTGACAGGTGATTAGTAGAGTGAAGTGTGGACTTAAATTAAGGATCATCCAAAAGCCCTAGCAGGTTTTGCCTGATTTAGCCAGATCCTTGTTTATATTATATTTTTATTCCATCATTTCAGCACTTTCAACCGCTTTTTTCTCAACTTTTTAGGAAGAACAAACTCCAATTATTGAGCGAACAACCTTTTGTTTCCAGTCTTATTGACAAAAAGCAACACCAGACATGTCATTTGGAACAGTGTACACAACTATTTTGATAATTCACTTTTTTTCATTTTTCAAAGAAAAAAAAGTCCCAAATGTGGAGATTTGTTGCTCTGCTTTTCATGTCTTTATAACTGAATATCTTTGTGCTTTGGGCAGTTGGTCGACTTACGACATTGTCACCTTGGGCTCTGGGACCTTGTGAGGGGCTTATTTACAACCTCATCTGACATTCGATATATTATATATTAACTGATTATTTAAAAACAATAAGATTAATGCATCACAAAAATAACTTGCAGTCCCATTTGCTCCGTAGCTAACAGAGAAAAGCACCTGTGGCATTTGGTATTAGACAGACCGACAGTGTGGACTGCACTGATGCTAAACTGACTGTTATTAGTAGACTCTGACAATTTGGATTTCCAATCGTCCTTGAACACCTCAATAATTGAAAAAGAAAAAGCTAACTTCGGAGTCCCAATCTGTAAAATAGATGGTAAATATAAACTATGTTTGATTTGTAATGAATGGGTCAGAAAATGCCAAACATTCATATGGTAGTTTTGGAAAAAATTCACCCAATTCAATCTCACCCGGCTGGGTCTGTTTCTGTCTGTCTAACACTCAGGACGGTCGACATCGGCTAAAAATAAACACAGAGGGGCGAAGATCAAACCGGCAGAAACATCTGGGTCTCATATGGTGACTCAACACGTGAGTCAGGAAGAAAGTCAGTCAACCCGACGTTTACACACTGTCTTCTTGTGGTCTGGAGCTTCCTGCTGCCTCCCTGTCGGCCCCTGTCATTAGCTGACAGCTTCTGGATGAGAATAACACTTCTGAGTATCACAGGGCCACAGGAGGAGCACCATCATCTGAAACAACTGGTTGTGTTATGGTTCTTTAACATTCCCCAACTCCCCAACTCCCACAGACCAAATTAAAAAAAGCAAAAAAAAAACCAACAACCCATAAGCATATCTTTTAACAGCAGTCTAAAAAGGGCAGATTGTGTTCCATTATCTCAAAGAAAGAAAGAAACAAGCAAAATAGAAGCAGCCCTTTTCCCTATATTAAAAAAAATCTCATCAACTTAATCTGAATGTGTTTTTAACACTGACACAGTGCAGTGCAACACTCGATCTGGTGGGATTCATATATTATTTAGTCGTTTCCCTCCTTCCTCTGAGGCAGTGCTGGATGTGTCTGTACAGTATTTACACTCCTGAATACAGAACGAAAAGAGGTAAAATCATATGAAGAGTTCATTTCCAAATCGCCGCATGAACACATTAAAGGAAGGGTCCGTCGAAGGGTCATTTTGTCAGTTAGGGAGGTAACTTCCCCTAAAACAGGGCCAGAATTTGCATACAATTTTCTGGTGGCAATCAATTTAAAACATTGGGTGTCAGAAAAAGGGAGGATGAACGCAGAGGAGAGGGGAGGAAGAAAAAGCAGGGCTGAAAGCTGTGTCACTGAAATCACAGTGATTTTTCTGATTGGGGTTCATGTTCATATTCCAAGTTGAACGAGCCGAAGTTAAAGCTGGGGGACAAAAGAAACTGAGCCACGTTATGCACATTTTGGCTGCGGCTCCTCGGTTTTACCTCAACTGACGCTTAAAACACTGAAGGAATTTGGCTTGTTAAATGTCTGGCTCCATTTACACTGCAGGACTTCCATCAGCTTCTGATTGTGTCAAATCAATTAGTCACCTATTCAGTCTTAAAATCTTTTAAAGCCACTATGTGTAGGATTTTTGTGTAAGTTTGTGTAGACCTGCTGGACTTCTATCATCAATGGTTGTGATCGGACAGAGACACAATGTGAGCCTGATCATCAGGACATCAAAGACCCAACACAGGGAGATGGAGCTCCAAGCACCAACCTCCTTCTGGATGGAAAAGCCTACACATAGTGGCTTCTAATCAAATAGTGTCATTAAATCAGTTTGTTTCAAGTATTTCTTGTACATGTCTTTATGGAAATGTCACCCAAAATCTTTCGTTTCAACTGCTCACAACTCCCGGATGGTTACATCCTCACATTCAAAGAGAACAGAGTTTCAGGCGGTTTCTCCTCAGTTTGTCAGAGACTCAAAACAGAAACACGATATTGAGCTGGTTCTTAAACTCTTTCAGACCCTGCTTGAACACTTGTCTTTATCTGAGGGACTGGAGTTTTATTTAAGGTTACTGTATAGATCAAGTAAACCCAAACGTGACAAAATGTACATAAAGAGTGTCTGTGTGTGGAGAGAACTTAAAGAAGATGGCAGGCGACACTCTGTATTTTTCTTACTGTCACATACACACATCCCATGAAAAGACCGAAACCAGCAATGTTCTCAAGCTCACTAGTTCCTTCTGAAGATGTTCGGGATGTTTTTCTTAAACAGCTGCTCACTGTAGGAGGAGGGAACAGTGCATTTATTGGGAACTACTTTGAGCTGCGGACTGATCTACGTTTGGTGCTGTAGTGAGTGCTTCCAGCTGCAGGACGGTGTATGTGGTGACTGTATTAGTGTTGGTGGTAATGAAGGGACATGTCAACCAGTTTAACAGTGTTTTTGGACAACAGTGGAGCTCGATGTCACAGAGGAATAAGATAAATCTGGCTCTGGATCAGTTCTCTGTTGGGTTTTTCCATGGGATTTGTTGACAATAAGAAAAGTATAAAATATCAGCAGACTTATCCTTAAAACCCAAACAATCATTTTGTGATCTCAATAAATTAGTTACATTAAGATCACACTTAATAATGAGAAAACATTATTAATGTCCTATCGCGCTTTATGTGATT